CACACGCACACACACACACACACGCACACACACGCACGCACACACACACACGCACGCACGCACACACACACACACATGCACACACGCGCGCGCACACACGCACATGCACACACGCACACACGCACAACGCGCACAACGCGCACATGCACGTACGCACACATGCACATGCGCGCACACACACGCACACACGCACAACGCGCACAACGCGCACACGCACGTACGCACACATGCACATGCGCGCACACACACGCACACATGCACATGCACACACGCGCACGCACACGAGTATTCTAGAAACAAGCTTCCCATGCTTACAATTAGCTGTGCACAATTTTATTTTCTACTTTATTTTATACACCGCCGCGTGCGCGCGCCCTTCCTTGCTATGGTAGTAATAAAGTATGAGGGTCACACCTGTAGAAGATCGTGCAGAATATAAGCTTTCTTCTGCTTTGACTCCTCTTTTATTTTCTTTCTTCCTTTTGTTTTTCTCTTTTTCTGAAGCATCCCGTCCCCCTTAACCCCCCCTCTCCCTCTCTCTGACACACACACACCTGTCGCCGTTACTGTACAAGGGATTTCTTTGGCTCCCTTCAGTTGAGTACTGGTTCCTCTGTCCAGGGGTTATGAACTGCACAACTATTCTGTGTCCGAAGTGAACACCTTTTTGGTGTTTTGTTTCTTGAGCAGCATGTAACAGGACCCCACCCTGGCATGAGGAGGTCCACAGAAAGGTTGGGCAGGATTCAGGTTCACAGAACACACTGTGCCCTGGGAGCCAGAACTGTCCTCCAGCAGAGCTGCCCCAGGAAAGCCACCACGGGGCAAAGTGGGGGGGAATGCGGGTGAGAGAGAGAGAGGGAATGGGGTTCCGTTTGGAAGCAGTTTGATGCCAGTATCCAGTCGTCCTATTGCAGGCAACCTCCCCAGAGGGGAAATGGGAGGTCTCGTGGTGCCTGTGCTGTTTGGGTTTTGCCATCGGAGCAGGGGACCTGCCAACCCACAGAAAGCACCCAGGGACCCATCAGTGTGGAGCGAGTAGGCCAGTCTGGAGCAAAGCACCACACCTTTCAGAAAGGGCAGTTCTCTTTGAAAACTAGGCCGTTTCACACAACTGGGCAGGCGAGGGGGAATCCTGGCCACTGCCTCTAGTAACCGCTCTGAGGATGTCAACTTTCTGATTCACATCAAGACAGAAGAGGAATCAAAACAGTAAGGAACGAGGGGGCCTGAGCTTGACCAATGAGCCAGCTGCGGGTGGGTTTTCACAGGACCACACCCCACACGGTGAGAGAGGTGACGTTCCAGCTCCCACAGGTGTCAGATTCCACCCCGGAGTCATTTATAAAGTTTATCGAGTCATTTATAAAGTTGTTTATATTCAGGAAGCTCTGGATAAGATCCTGGGGTGGTGGGTGGGGGAGGAGAGAATAGCAGCTGTATTTGGTCCCAGGTTCTATTTCCATCTGTTTATTTGGATTGAGAGAGTAGAGGCTCTGTTGCTGGTTGAACAGACAGACTTGTAAGCCCAAGCCTAAGGAACAGTTTGGAATGCTCAGCAAAATCTCTGAAGTTGAAAATCACTACCGCCCATTGTTTTTAAAAAGTCTGTATAAATGAAAACTCTAGGAGCAAGCTTTTCCCAACATTAATAGCTCTTTTTCAAAGGACACATCCTGGAAATCGGAGAACAGAGTCCCTGGTATGATTTGGCAGGATCTAAAAACCAAGTGATGCATTCATTTCTTCGGCATCTATTTGCAGAGCAACTTTTAGATGACCGGCACCACGCTGGGCCCCAGACCCTGCCAGAGAAATTTATCTCAGGATAAATCATGGAAATACAAAATAGAAATTGAAGAGAACCCTAAGGGTGGAAATTAGATTGGGGTGCAGGGCCTGGGTGTGGGGAGAGGGGACATGAGGGAACATTTTAGAGTGATGGGAATAGTCTGTATCTCAAGTGTGCTGGAGGATATGTGACTGTAAACTTTCACCAAAATCCATAGAATTAGAAACCTTCCAAGGGTGAATATCACTGAATGTAAATTATACTCAACAAAAAAATTAAAATTAAAAATAAAAATAAATAAATTATACTCAACAAGCCTGACTTTTGGAAAAGTGATCTGAAAAATGGACAGGTCAACTATGTAAACAAACATGTCATATGTTGTAGAAATGTCAAGGCAAAGCTCCACATGGGTACAAATATGTCAGAAACCAAGAGTTGGTTTCTTGGAAAGTTTGAGGATAGTTATAGGTGTCGGGGAATGAGGAAGGTAACCTTTATTTTTTCTATGCTGTTAAGGTTTTGTATTGTCTTTGCCTGTATCAGACCTAATCTCAGACAATTCGTTATGGTTACAAGATTGGACATCGGGTATTTTCGGGTGCTTGAACATGAGAGCATTAGTATGGGCTTCCTTTTGCAAAAGGGGCGAATTCTTTGAGAAGAGAGGTTGATGAGGGAGTTGAATCTGGAAGTGCTTGTGAGTACTTACCTTCCAAAGANTGAGAAGAGAGGTTGATGAGGGAGTTGAATCTGGAAGTGCTTGTGAGTACTTATCTTCCAAAGTACTGCACATTCAAGACGTGGCCCACGGGCTCCCGTGTTCCGTGGCAGGAGATGGGCCTCGGTTTCTCTCTCTTTCAGTGGGAAGATGGAGCCAGGATTACAGCTCAGCGGTTAAAGCTCCCTCCCCCTCTCTGCATGCTCCTTTTCAAATTCCTTTGGCCCTTCCTTAAAAGTTAGTTGTTCTGCAGGCTTCCTTCCTAGCCCTGCTTGTCCTCTTCTGTTATATCAGTGTTTCCCAAACCGTGTTCAATTATTTGGGAAGCTTTGGGCTAAAAACAGTAGGATATGTCCCTTTGGCCAGGATCTCATTTTTCACACTAAATTCACCCCCTCTCCCCTTCCTCCAAACCTGTCTCACCTGCAGGATCCCCTCTCTTGAAGAACAGTATCATCAGACACAAAGTGTCCCAAACCACAAACTTGGGGTTCCCCCTTGATCTCTCTGCTTCCCTTAACCCCAGAATCCCCTTTAGATAGAATGATGCCTATTTCTTGATATGATATTTATTTATTTAACAAATATTTTCTGAGCACATTTTATATAATATATGGCTTGGGAAGCTCACACTCTAATTGTAAGACAGAACCTACACAGATAAAAAGCTAAATAACAATCTGAGATGTATCACCAGATACTATGCAAATGGCCATTACAGATAATATAATGCTGCAGGCTCGGTGAGAAACATCTCCGTGGGCTGACGAGGTCAGGCAAGGAGTCGGGGAAATGTTGTTCTGTTGCTTAGAAACGGCACTGGAGATGGGAGATCATTTTAAATGGTTATCTGAAAGGATCCATAGAGTGTTAAAACTGGGAAATACAGAAGCAAGCACTCACTTGCCAATACTCGTAATTTCCATAGAGGACACTGAGACCCAGAGAGACCAACGGTGGCTGATAAGCTGCTTTCACACAGTGCTTCTGGGTGCCCACTGCATACAAGGCACAGCATGGGCTACACTTATTCAAAAGAGCAGGCAAGGTGGGACCAATTCTCAAGGGGCACGGTATCTAATAAGAACCCAAC